TTTTCTTATTTTTAGCTCCCGGTGACCTAGTTCCACATGCGATTTCGAACTCATCCAAGCAATTACCTAGACACAAGCATCCTGACCAAGTTTTGATGATAACTGAGTCGAAAATGTGACCACTAGAATGTATAACAAGGTTTTTCCATATTTGGGGCGGTGTGACCTAGTTTTTCATCCAATATGACCCATGTTTCGAACTTGACTGAGAAATCATGTCAAAACAAATTTTCAGACCAATTAAACCATAATATTTGGATCACAACAGTAGCCACTAGAGTGTTAACAAGATTTTTCTATTTTAAAGCTCCTGTGACCTACTTTTTTCATCCGAGATGACCCATGTTCAATTTATTCCCAGCAATGACCTAGACAAGTTTCCTGACCAAGTTTTGATGACAATTTGAGTCAAAATTGTGACCACTAGAGTGTTAACAAGGTTTTTCTATTTTTTAGCTCCTGTGACCTAGTTTTTCATCCCGAGATGACCCATGTTCGAAACTCAATCCGAGCTATCACCAAAACAAGCATCTTGATCAAGTTTGATGAATGATTAGATGCAAAAATGTGACCGCTAGAGTGTTAACAAGATTTTTCTATTTTTAGCTCCGGTGACCTACTTTTTCATCCGAGATGACCCATGTTTGAACTCATCTGAGCTTTCACCTAGACAAGCATCTTGACCAAGTTTGATGATGACTGATGCAAAAATGTGACCGCTAGAGTGTTAAACAAGGTTTTTTCTATTTTTAGCTCCGGTGACCTACTTTTTCATCCGAGATGACCCATGTTCAAACTCATCCGAGCTATCACCTAGACAAGCATCTGACCAAGTTTGATGATGATTGATGCAAAAATGTGACCGCTAGAGTGTTAACAAAGGTTTTTCTAATTTTTAGCTCCGGTGACCTAACTTTTTCATCCAAGATGACCCAAATGTTCAAACTCATCCGAGCTATCAACTAGATAAGCATCCTGATCCAAGTTGATGATAATTGATTGCAAAAATGTGACCGCTAGAGTGTTAACAAGGTTTTTTCTATTTTTAGCTCCGGTGACCTACTTTTTCATCCGAGATGACCCATGGTTCGAACTCATCTGAGCTATTACCTAGACAAGCATCATGACCAAGTTTGATGATGATTGATGCAAAAATGTGACCGCTAGCGTGTTAACAAGGTTTTCTATTTTTAGCTCCGGTGACCCTACTTTTTCATCCGAGATGACCCATGTTCGAACTCATCCGAGCTAATCACCTAGACAAACATCCTGACCAAGTTTGATGATGATTGCAGGCAAAAAATGTGACCTCTAGAGTGTTAACAAGGTTTTTCTATTTTTAGCTTCTTGTGACCTAGTTTCTCATCCGAGATGACCCATTTATAACTCATCCAAGCTATCAACTAGATAAGGCATCCTGACCCCAAGTTTGATGATGATTGAGGCAAAAATGTGTGACTGCTAGAGTGTTAACAACCAAATGTGAACGGACGACGGACAATCATCGATCCTAAAAGCTCACCCTGAGCATGCTCAGGTGAGCTAAAAAATAACAGGTACTGGAACAAGAAAACATTTACCTTCATATTAGAGTTAAGCATTTCTTCAAAGTCTTCTGGCTCAATCTGAGGGACCTTCATCACTAGATCCATTAAAAATCTACCAATAACATTATCAGCTTGGTATTCTATTGGCCTGAAATAGTCAGAAAAAAATGCTTATCTATCAATGTACCTAGAAGTACTTTTAGAAAATTCTTATAGTTAATACTCAAATAGTAAATAGTAAGAAAGAACATTTTATCATGCAAGTTCTTGTTACAATCTTTTACAGTTTTACCTTGTATCATTAGACTAGTTAGTTTAACCATCAAGCTCGATAGCAAGTCATTCACTCTGCTATCACAGCCTAGATTTTTCAATTTCGATACTTCTTGATTAAACAGTAAAATCCACAAAGGGCTTTTCTCAACAGGGAAGTGCATGCTAAGTGCAAATTACATGTTACTGGTATAATGCTATCTTTGTTAAATAAAAAAAACAAAATGTTTCTTTCAATGCTGTTTGATAACAGTACATGTATTTACAAAGCAAGGAAGAAATATATAATAGAAGACATAAATGAAACATGCATTTTTACTAGTATAATGATATCCAGAAGTATTCCTTGAAAGATTCTAACCAAAACAACACACTTTTTAAAGAAATTGTGTCCTAATAAAGTGCAGAATGTGATTTGTTTGATTGGGATTTATGTCACACCAAACACAGGTCATATGGCTAGTGTTCCAGCTTTACTGGTGGAGGAAGACCTTGGGTGTATTATTTCAGGCACAAACGGGCACCTGAGTAGAACCACCAAGGTTCTGTAAGCTAGCTGGATAGGTTTCACACAGGAAAGAATCCAAAGTCCCTGTTTGGATTCGAGCCCACCGTGGTGAGGGGCAAGTGGTTTGAAGTCAACAACCTTAACCACTTGGCTAAAGATGCCCAAGGTGTAGAATTTAAGCAAATATGTCTTACCAGTACATCTTCAACATATTCCAGAACCATGGCGAGTTTTTGTTGTAACATTCCTGTGGCTCTTTCTACATGTGTCAGATCTTTAACTAGGTTGGCACTTCGTTTAGGATTAAATTTACCACCCTGTATGACATCAACTGTAAAAATAAACACTTGTTCATTGGTAATATCCTTATTGATAATTGACCAAACCAATAAAAGCAGCAATTTTCATATACATTGTATGTGAAACAAACTATAGTGGTCATCATCTGGAATTCAAAATTTCATGAAATGTTTTTCAACCTTCATCATTTTTTGCTTCTGAAGTTGATATTCCAAAAAAATTGATTATCACTTTCTAACTTAGTTACACTTTATCAGATTTAATAAGTATTGTAAAGTACCAAACAGTTAACAAATCTTTGTAAAAACTATTTATAACTTAAAACAAAATACTTTCATGTAGTACACATAACAGGTTCATCATTTGGCAAATTAACCAAACCATGTTTTGCTTCTGTCACCTTTTCACAATTATTAAAGTTATCAAAAATTTAGTATTTTATATCGAAGTCAATACTATTTGTTTATATATTGCTATTTTAATAGCCTTTCTATAAAAGGAAAATTTCATTTGTTTCTGAGACAAAATGTGCCTATAAGGAAAAAGATTTCCAAGGAATGTTGAAGAGAAATGCATTGAGCAGCAAAGTAATTTTCCCCATGTCATAATTTGGTTTATTGACGCCATGTAACTGGACATGTAAATATTCCCTTTTCATGTTTTGCATATATTTTGTGATAATGCACTTACCTGTCCTGTTTGTTCAATTGAGGAATAAAATGAAACATTTTAGAAATTGTGATAATTTGTGAAATATGAGAATTCACAAATCAACTTGTTAGGAACCACTCAACATACATTTACAACTACTGAAGCATTGCAAAAAACCTCAAAAAAAAGAAAAAAACATTGCATAAAAATTAAAAAAAAAACAAAATGGTCAAGCAGGGTTATTTTTTAATTAAAAATTAAATTTTGCATTACATTTGGACCAAAAAAAAGGGAAAAATATATTTACCCCAAAACTTTTTTGGTTCTAGGCTGGTTATTTTTTCTTGAACTGGGGAAAAAATTGGGTCCTTACAGTTTCCCTGGAGTAAATCTGGGGACTGAAATATAAAACCCAAAACCACTGAGTTTTTTTTCCATAAACAGGGTTTTGAAAAAAATTAAAATTGTTCGGGGAATTTATACCATTAGATGTAGGACTGCCCAAAACCCTCGAGTTTAATTTTAAGCTAATTCCTTCACCCTTTTTTTCCAAAATTTTTAAAGTTTTACGAGAAAAATTTACCCAAAAAATAAATTTTTGGAAAGGGAAAATTAAAACCACAAAAATTTTATTTTAAATTTTAAATTTCCCGAGAAATTTTTTTCTTTTTTCCCGTTTTTTTTCCATTTTAAAAGCGTTAAATTTAAATTCCCAATGAAAAATTTTCCATATTTTGTTTTAAGATTTTCAGACATCAACATGCTCAGGGGGCATCCCCACTGTGTATACATTATTTATAAATTTTTCAAACAAACGCATTATGGCCTAAAAATTTCAAGGGGAAAAAAAATTGTTTTAAAATTTTTTCATTTCTTTTTCTAACCAAATAAATTCATTCAAAAGAAAACTTTTCCCCCTATTTTACGTCTTCCCAAACAATTTTTTTTTGTGGGTTTGTAAGTATTTTTTAAACTTTTTGGGAATGTGTCAAAAGTTTTTGTAAAAAGAAAACAATTTTTTTAAAATAATGCTAAATTTCAACTTTTTTTGATTTTTCATAAGACATGTATATTAATTCTAAATTTAATATTTATTCATTTCTTTAAAATTTTCAGAATTTATGGCAATTTTTAAAGGAAAATGAAAAACCTGGGTGTAGATATAATATTCAAGTCGAAAAAATATATATTAATATGACACCTACCTAACAAAAGGGCCTTAATGCCATTTTATTTCCTGCTAAGAAGTAGTATCTACAGTCAGAAAAGGACAGGTTTTAGGGTTTTCCCTAGGAGTAAATATTCCATGGGAAATTAACACGGGGAATGTTCTTTTTACATCAGCACCTGTAAATACTGTAATATATGCTTGTAAGTCAATGTCTTTCAGTTATCAATGTTATGATTGAATAACTACACACTGAAGGAGATAGTGATTAATTAGGAAGCATAAAAAATTATCAATTTTTAAAAATATTTAAACAAATGTAGATTCTCCTGTCTTATAATATAACCAATTATGATTTTTTTTTTTTTTCTATATTTACAGTATTTTTGCCAAGCTTAACTGGGGGGATCAAAAACTCATGGCCCTCCATCAATGACATGATTTATAAGATGTTTTGATTGAAATTTTTTTTATTGAATTTTCAAAGTAAAATTACCAAGGAGAGCGGTGGCCTAGTGGTTAAGGTGTCTGCCTCTCAACCCAAGGATCATGGGTTGGAGTCCGAATTGGGTCACAACCATGTTTCTTCATATGACACCAGTACTGGTTGGTTCCAGGAATAGATTCAAAAGTGATTAATATAAGTTCAAAGAACTTGTTTCGCAATTGAGATTAAATAAATATGTTTAACCCTTTCCCCCATGAGCATATTGGTTCCAGGAATAGATTCAAAAGTGATTAATATAAGTTCAAAGAACTTGTTTCGCAATTGAGATTAAATAAATATGTTTAACCCTTTCCCCCATGAGCATATTGTGAAAAATGGCCGTTTTCACTGAAAAGCCTCCTGTTACAAGTTCAAACTATGAAACTATGAAAATGCTTCAATACTAATCAAACTTGGCACAAATGTTGACTGGACCATTGCCTTTGTAACAACATGCTCAGTCTTAAATTTCCTGTTACCATGGCAACGAGGGGGCATCTCAAAATTGCCAAAAATCACTATTTTGCCTCGATTTTTTCCATCAAAATTTATTTCAAAGTGCTGCAACTTCTCAAGGGATTGAGATAGAGTCAAAGGCTTTTCAGCGTTGGTTACACGTTACATTATGATCGACCTGGGGTCATTTTTAGCCTCTCACAAGTCCAAAATTTTCTTGACGTGAGGGGGACTCCCCCCTTCAAACCCCCCTAACAGAAGGGGGCACATCCCCCTTCTGGCAACCCCCTCGTGTATCTTTTGGATGGGGGACGTCGCCGAAAAAGTGCTCAATTTTTTTAGCAACATTTCTCAAACGAAAACATGTGTTTGGGGCCCAAATCAAATAGGACATTTTTTCACTCTTTGAGGCCTAAAAAAAGGGGGGGGGGGGATCGAAAGTGCGTTGTTTCACGTATATATGGGGTAAAGGGTTAAACTAAAGTGAAATTAAGTTTAACCAGACTTGAAAATGAAAAGGTTTATTAAGTTTTAGTCAAAATCATATAAAGTCACGGTATTAACATAAAATCTGTCGTTTTGAACAAACAATTTACATTAATATCAAGGTAAATGACAACTGTTTGAAAAATATTTTACCTGAATCTTTATGTATAAATCAATTTTCTATAATTGCTCAAGATTTTCTATTAAAATTCATTATAATATTTGGAGGGGAAAAAACAACATTTTCACAAGATTTACGATACATTGCTGTAGAATACGATTCTATGTGAACTTGAGTCTTTTTTCCAAAATAAGGCTGACACTTGCCAGATGCATGTATTTGGACAAATGGTAAGAAAAACAATAAATAGAATATTCAATGGCTTGTTAATATACATGCTCAGCTATTAGCATGTTACATATGGTAAGGATTATAACCAGTAATCTAAATATCTAAAGACCACAAGCTTTAAAAGTTTGAAATCTTTGACTTGACTAAGTGTAGTGTTGTAAATTAAATGGCAAGCAGGGAATGCAAAGTTCAATTTGAACACATTTACTGTTACACAGGTCTATCCAATGATCAACCCTATCCTGGTACTTGAGAAAATATGAATTTCAAAATTGATACTTACCATCCAACAATAACTTCAGATGGATTGACTTTCTTATGAAGTTCAAACATATTTCTTGCATACTCCAGATCTGCTGCAACCTGTGATTTAGATACATATGAATAATCAATTTGTGAAATGGACAAAATACCACATGCACAAAAAAAACATTCTATTGAAAAAATGACACAGTGGACAAAAAGCCAGCCCCCAAAAGCCCTTACATTAAATCAAAATAAACTTTACAATCTGCTATCAAGTCAAAATAGGACAGCTTATTTTCAATAAGGAATTTTTTTTAAAGTTTATATATATAACATGATAATATGCATAAAGTCTGGGTGGATGACTGTAGTATTCTTAGAAAACTTGTATGAAGTGTATAACTTTAATTGAAATCACATTAAAATCAGTGAAAAAAAAAAGTCTAACAATCTTGAAAAAGTCCTTAGTAAGCAGAACACTGCCATTTTGAAATATCTTGGACTGATTTTCTATTTGTGCTATATTTAGATAACACAGGATACCTTTTAAAAAAACCATTGAGCTGAAGTGTCTATACAATTCAGACTGATGCTAGAAGACACCACAGTCTTCTATCCAAAATAACACTTCTGGTAGAAGCATGATGTAGAAAATCAGTTAATAAATATCATCATCATTGATAAGAGCTAAAGTAAAGATGATAAACCTAAGTTACTTTTTTAATATCCATTTTGATAAAAACAACAACTCTGATTATACATTAACAAAATTGGCCGACAAGATATTCGGAAACACTCGGAACACTTAGATGATAAGTTAAAAACAATTGGTACAAAATACCTGCATTTACTTATTATCTACAATTGTAGTCAAGGAAAGATCTGGTTTACAAACTGAAATTTTTATGCTTGTTATTAAATCAAAGAGTTTTTCGCATCATATATATCATCTTATTTCATATTATTGCTTTTTTAAACAAGGATAATTTGATTTTCAATATATATGACAACTTCCTACACCTATACTATCACTCTATGTAATGAGATTGAATTTGAAATTTAGACAGCCTTTTTTGAAAAATGGTTTTTACAATATACAAGTTTCAATATTTTTTTCTCTCCATAAAATGTAAAAGAATGCTTATTTAAGACTGTGTGATAAACCTACCTCATCCTCAGATTCATTATGTGGTACAGCAAATGCATTAGTTACTTCTACAACACCTTTGTCATGTGTTCCTGTTATGGGATAGAAAAGAACACAATAGAAACACATATAAAAGCCATTGAGGAAAAGCAAAAAGAAACTGAAGTGAATGAGTTTTCAATTCTTTATTACACATTTTAGACAAACATATTCACGGTTACAAGACTTACCGGAATCGGCCGAATTACCGGAATCGGCGGTGAATTACCGGAATCGACCTGTAACTTTGTAATAATTAAACTTTTTAAGTTTTTTCCTGCAATTTTATAAAATATAAACAATATCAATGATTTATGAAAAGATTTTTATAAATAAAATCGCTTTTGATTAATTTATCAAGAGATCTAATATCGGCGAGCTACTGCCAAACTGCCTGTGACCGGAATCGGCCTGTTATTTCGTTGTTTATGCAACTTTTAATGTCCTTTTGTATGTTTTTATAAAACCTAAATATTATCATTAATCTTCCTAGAGATTGTGAAAAAATCGCTTTTAAATAATGATAATAATAAACAAATATTTATGATCAGCGAAAACGGGCAAACTGCCGGAATCGGCAAAGGATTACCGAAATCGGCCAGTAATTTGCTTATCTATATACTTTAAACAAAATGTTTGCACCCTTGATTATAAATCAACAATAGCAATGATATGTAATCAGAGTATTGTCAATAAAATAACTTTTTATTAATTAAACAAGATATTTAATATCGGCGAGTTACTGCCATACTGTCGGAATCGGCGAAGAATTTACCGGAATCGACGTATAATTTAGTCTATTGTACTTTTTAACGTTTTTGTTGCATTGTTAATACTCATCTTATAAAATATAAATATTATGAAAGATATTTAAAAGTTTCTTTCTTTCTTTTATTTTTGTAAATTTCAATTCGCCTTTGGTTAATAAAGCAAGAGATTGAAGATCGGCGAGTTACATATACTGTCATACAGCCGAAATAGGCGAATGATTACCGGAATTGGCCTGTATTATTGTAATTTATGGACTTTGCAAGAAAAAATGCTAACAATATAATATATATCTTAAAAGATTTCTGTAAATGAAGAATCCTTATTAGATAATAAGCTAGAGATCTAAGGTAGGCGAATTACTGCCATATCGCATAATTATATGCAGTGCCAGGGCTATCGGACAATTACCGGAATCGGTCTGTTTTTTCCCCCACCAATATTTCAACGTTTAAAAAATAACCTTGAATTATTTTATTAAATACAAACAATATAAAACGATTTTTATAATGTTTATTGAAATCGGTATCAAATAAGAAGCAAAAGATTTATGAAAAATCGCTGTTATATAATAATAAAAAGATTTATATTGAAGATCGGCAAAAAACGGGAAAACCTGTCGGAATAGGCGATGGATTACCGGAATCGACCTGTAATTTGGTTATTTGTGAACTTTTTAAATATTTCTTTTGTATGTTTTTATAAGATATAAACATTTTCAATGATATTCATTTTTGTAAGTAAATTTGCTTTTGATTAATAAAACAAGAGACCTAAGATCGGCGAATTACTGTCATTCTGCCGATATAGGGGAAGGATGGGCGGGATCAGCCTGTATACTATAGTTATTTTTATGTTATTTTATTAAATGCAAATAATATCATTGATATAAAAAGATTTTTTGAGAAATGAAGATCACTTCTTATTATAAACTGGATGCCTAAGATAGACTAATTACTATCATAGTGCCTGAATTAACAGGGAAATACCGGAATTAGTCTGTTATTTTGTTATATTTCAGCATTTAAAAATATCTTGCCATATTTTATTTAATACAAACAATTCAAATGATATTTAATAATATTTATTGTAATCGCTATTACATAATAAACAAGGTGATCTATGATTTCTTCCATACTACCGAGTCGACGAGCGATTACCGGAATCGGCTTCACTTCGTCTAGGATTACTGGAATCGGTTCTAATTTTGTTATGAATGTGAACTTAATATAATTATTATCATTTATTTTTGCATGTATTTACAAACATAATCATTGATCTTTTATGGAATAATGCAATATCGTCTTTACATTATATTTTTTCAGGTAATTGCTAACAGAGGATTGTTTGAAATGACGGATAACAATAGGTCAGTTCAGTCTTTCTTTATGTTTGCATAACTCAATTCTTGATTTCATAAAGTAGTCGATTCATAATTACATGCAATAAGTTTTATTTGAATCTTTATTTAAACAATACAAACCTCATAAAATATTCACATGAAATCAATGTTTTACCAGGCAGTTAAATCGTACTTACTTGACAGTTCAAGGTCATTCTGGAGTATCAAATCAATTGTCGTCATTTGCGTTATTGGCGCACCATAAAAAGTATTACAAAGATTGCGAATAAGTCGATCGTTGAAACATAGATTATTTAGTCTTAAATAGTAAACAAATCATATATACCCGTAACGTATAAAACAGTGAGATATGGATGTTAACTATATAAGCACAGATGATACTGTCACTTTATTGGAAGTAAACGAGCTGTATATCGGGAGCTGTGTATTGGGAAGTGTGATATACTACAAAACAGTGGGGTGCCAATATACAGTATGCTGATATATTTCATAGTGGGAGGGTCTGTCTGTTAGAGAAAGCGTGTTGTTAAGCAAGCTGTAGCTGGAATCGGGGAATGATTACCGGAATCGGCCTGTATTTTTGTTATTTATGAACTTTAAAAAAAAAATCTTGCATCTTTTATAAAATATAAACAATGCTAATGACATGTAAAAATATTTTTATAAATAAAAATCGCTTAAGATTAATTAAGCAACATACTTAAGATCAGCTAGTTACTGTCATACTGCCGGAATCGAGGAATGATTACCGGAATCGGCCTGTAATTTTGTTATTCATGAACTTTTAAACTTTTATAAAATATAAACAATTAATGACATGTAATAAGATTTTTTTTATAAAAAACACATTTGATTCATTAAACAAGAGATTTAATTATGATCAGCAAGTTACTGTCATCTGATATTAGATCTCTTGTTAAATTAATCAAAAGCGATTTTATTTACTTCTTTTTTTACATTTCATTGATATTGTATAAAGATGCAAGAACCTTTTTTGTAATCTTTATTAATAACCAAATTATACGCCGATTTCGGTAATCCTTCGCCGATTCCGACAGTATGGCAGTAACTCGCCGATATTAAATATCTTGTTTAATTAATCATTTATCAATGAGATTTTATTTACAAAAATCTGATTACATATCATTGATATTGTTTATATTTAATCAAAGATGAAAAAATATATATACATCACATTAAAAAAACTATTGTGTGTTTATTTGGGATGTTTGCGGAAAATGTCATTATTAATTCAGTGTCATAAGTAACTACATGTATATATCATAGTCCTTTACTTAAAGGATCTTCTTCCATTTTTTATTAATAATTAAATGGGTCAAACGGTTAGAAATTATGCTAAACTTTGAAAAGAATCTTAAGATCTATACAGGGTGTTTATATTGTTGTTTTGTTTTTACATTGACTAAATCCTGGGATATACGATATCGTATGTCCCAGCTAAATCTTAAGTCTTTAAAAATTATGAAGTTCAATAAATCCTATGACTTAATTCATCTACAGCTTGCTGAACAACAGGCATTCTCTAACAGATAGTCTCTCCCACTATGAAATATATCAGCATACCGTATATTGGCACCCCACTGTTTTGTAGTATATCACACTTCCCAATACACAGCTCCCAATATACAGCTCGTTTACTTCCAATAAAGTGACAGTATCATCTGTGCGTATATACTTAACATCCATATCTCACTGTTTTATACGTTATGGGTATATATGATTTGTTTACTATTTAAGACTAAATAATCTATGTTTCAACGATCGACTTATTCGCAATCTTTGTAATATTTTTATGGTGCACCAATAACGCAAATGACGACAATTGATTTGATACTCCAGAATGACCATGAACTGTCAAGTAAGTTGGATTTAACTGCCTGGTAAAACATTGATTTCATGTGAATATTTCATGAGGTTTGTATTGTTTAAATAAAGATTCAAATAAAAATTATTGCATGTAATTATAAATCGACTACTGTATGAAATCAAGAATTGAGTTGTGCAAACATAAAGAAAGACTAAACTGACCTATTGTTATCCGTCATTTCAAACAATCCTCTATTAGCAATGTCCTGAAAAAATATAATGTAAAGACGATATTGCATTATTCCATAAAAGATCAATGATAATGTTTGTAAATACATGCACAAATAAATGATAATAATAATATTGAGTTCACATTCATAACAAAATTAGAACCGATTCCAGTAATCCTAGACGAAGTGAAGCCGATTCCGGTAATCGCTCGTCGATTCGGTGGTATGGAAGAAATCATAGATCACCTTGTTTATTATGTAATAGCGATTACAATAAATATTATTAAATATCATTTGAATTGTTTGTATTTTATAAAATATGGCAAGATATTTTTAAAACGCTGAAATATAACAAAATAACAGACTAATTCCTGTATTTACATGTTAATTCAGGCACTGTGATAGTAATTAGTCTATCTTAGATATCTAGTTTATAGTAAAAAAGTGATCTTTATTTCTCAACAAATCTTTTTATATCAATGATATTATTTTCATTCAATAAAATAACATAAAAATAACTATATTACAGGCTGATTCCGCCCATCCTTCCCCTATATCGGCAGAATGACAGTAATTCGCCGATCTTAGGTCTCTTGTTTTATTAATCAAAAGCAAATTTACTTACAAAAATAAATATCATTGAAAATGTTTATATCTTATATAAAACATGCAAAAGAAATATTCAAAAAGTTCACAAATAACCAAATTACAGGTCGATTCCGGTAATCTATCGCCTATTCAGACAGGTTTCCCGTTTTTGCCGATCTTCAATATTAATCTTTTTATTATTTATAACAGCAATTTTTCATAAATCTTTTGCTTCTTTTCAATAAACATTATAAAAATCTTTTAAATTGTTTGTATT